CCTTGTTTGTCGTGAATTAATTTCTGTATTGAAAGAATACAATATTAAACGGCATTATGAATCCGAGCATAAAGTTAAACATGACTCCTTATACGGGCAGTTCAGAGAAATTGAAGTTAATAAACTACAAAAAGCTCTAACCGGAGAACAAACGATATTTTCAAAAGTAACCATTCAAAATAAAGCCGTTATTTCTGCCAGTGTGAATGTAGCTATGTTAATTGCAAAAGAGGGAAAACCATTTACAGAAGCAGAATTTGTCCAAAAATGTGTACTAAGCATGGCCGGTAATATTTGTCCAGATATTGTACATAAGTTTGAAGAAGTCCCATTATCTGTTCGTTCAATAACAAGACGTATTGAAGATGTTGGTAACAATTTATTAAATCAACTGATAAAAAAAACCAAAGCATTTTAATATTTTTCGTTAGCACTTGATGAAAGTACAGATATTGTTGACTCTGCACAGTTAATTGTATTTATTCGAGGAATTAATGAAAAGTTTGAACATTGAAAAAAAATGAATTAACACATTTTCCTAATTGTAAAAAACTTTTTGGATCGTCAGAATTTTCATTATTAACAGTTAAATTTGTTGAAGCTATTTCGATACTTCAACAAGAATTTAATAATCGATTTCAAGATTTCAAACGACATTCGCAGTATTTTCAACTACTCGCCAATCCGTTTAATATTGATGTGAAGATATACCTGTTGAGCTTCAAATGGAAATAATAGATTTGTAGCCACAAAGTACCTTAAAAGACTCATTCAAAGCATCGCCTTTACTTTTTTTCGCTGAACTTCTTGCATCATTTTCAATTCCCCTATCTCAAATTATCATTACTACAATGGCTCTAAGTATGTTTTTTTTTTTTTTTTGAAATGAGGTTAATACCAATCTAAAAAATCATACAAATCAGGAAATTAAGAAAATAATTTTTTGGAATATAAAAAGCAAACAGTTTAATCAATTACAATTTAGGAAAGCCTACTCTAAAAGCAAGTTAAGTTCCCAGTTTCCAAGTGTATTTTTAACTTTGAACTATAGTACCTTACACAATATACTTATATTATTACTTTTCTTTTTAATACTGACTAGTAATGTGGATTTAATGCTCATATTTAAATTAGGATTGATAATAATACTAATGTTACAGATAATATATTTATCTTTTTGTTAACCAAATCAACAATAGTTACTATGGACAAGGATATAAGTATAAGCATATATATAGGGAAACTGGAGAGACTAAGTTTGCCAAAAATTTTAACAGGCCCTCAAAATTATTCTGAGTTAGTTAATAATTTGAAAGGAAATTATTTAAAACACTGTAATGTTTGTCTAATACATAGGTAGATATTTCTATTAATTATGACTTAGTGCCATTACTGCCATTTACTGTGCCATTAATGAATGATAATATCTTTTCAATATATCTACCTATTATGTACAGGATGGTCAATCTATCGTAAGACACTCATTATTTCTGAAAATATTAAAATCGAGCTCTACAATTTTACGTTTATGTTATTTTTAGTCACCCTTATTTTTGGGACAATCTATATTAAAAAGTCCATAAATAGATTTACTATTAGTTGAAATACATTTTGGTGTTAAAATTTTTGATTTCTGTCAATCTATTGATGAGATATTCCACTTTAAAGTTTTGTTTAGGGGAGGGTAGTGGAGCATCATTTTGGCTCTTGGCATTTTAAGAATGCACCACTTCTATCCCTTGACCTAAACTTTAAAGTAGAATATCTCATCAATGAATTGACGGAAATCAAAAATTTCAGTAATACTGTTTATTTTAACTATTACTTTATTTTATGACATTTTCATTATAATTTATCATTTAAAAATCAAAATTAGGTAGTGGTTTTAAATTAAAAAATAAAGGTGATAAAAAAAATATAAATATAACATTGTTAGCTTGTTTCTTAAATGTCCTATAAAACAAATTTCTATACAAGTTAAAACTTTCCAAGATAATGAGTGTCTTACTATAGATTGAATATTTTGTATATTGTGACCATGTACAGTGGTATGTAGTTATGTACCATATAACAGTGATTGTAACATATCGTACATATTATGTTATTTTATAGCAAAAATGTATAATTTGATGATAATAGTGTACTGACCTTATGCACTTCATAATTTTGTTTTAATTCCATTTTGTCTAAAAAGAGGCTATAGTTACCTCAAATATTTAGTTCTAGCTACACCTATAGTACGCCTAGTATCTATAATATGCCTAGGTATGTAAAAATTATGCAGTTTTACTAATATTCTTTAAAAAGTGGACAAATAATGGAAAACTTGGAATTTTTCAATATAAAAGAGAAAACATTTCTAATCAAACCTCTCTATCTCACTTGATAATCAACTAATTGATCTCAAATTTTAAATTCATCTACAACAAAATATTCCTATAATAAATAATCATCAATCAAATGCAGGACTTTTTGCATTTTAAAAATAGGACTTTTGGCCAGGTTAAGGTAAATATTGGTTTCCACTGTGTGCCTTTTAAATGTGATAGAAATGATAATGATAATAAATATTTTAAATTTGTTAGTAATTTTCTTAGCATTAAAGCTGATATTTATGCATCTTTAACAAAACAAATTTATTCTTAGCTCTCCCAATAATATCAGATTATAACAAGTAATTTGTTCTTGTATCTCTGCATAGGTAAGATCTCTTACATTGTTAAATTTGTCATTGTTTGAAATTCTGGCAATTTTTATAATTGGAACCTTTTGGACCAAAAAAAATTTCCACACAGGGGGTCACCCAAATTAACCCATGCCATAGTTAATGTGTAAATATATTTTTGCTTGAATTCTCTTTCAATTTATAAAACTCATCACATTTTTATATTTAGACTACAATTCACTGCCTTTATATAGTTGATACCATGGTTAAAGTGCCACCATTAAAATTAAATCAAATCAATATACATTTTAATATAATTCATGTAAATATATATAATTTTTTTACATTCAAAACTGGTCACACCCAAATTGAATTTCCAACATTTTGTTAATTTTCCCGGGTTTTCTATTAGTTAAAAGAACCCCTGGGAAAATCAAAAAATAACTTTGAAGTACCACCCCAGTCCAATTTTCTTTTGGAAAAGGTGCTAAAATTGAAAATTTGAGTGAAATTGTTGGTAGAAAAGTTTCTCACAGAAAAAAAAATTAACATTGAATTCCCTCCGCTCAAAATCTAAATAAAATTAGTATTAAAATACATAATGTACAATTTTTTACATTATTATTAATTTGTCTTAATTTATAATTATTTATTATCAAAATATGTGTTTAGGTCAAATATTTTATCTGCGTCTGATTGTTGTATTGATATTTCGAACTTCAGTAAAATTAATGCAGTCAAAAAAATAAATGCAGATAGAATTTGTATTTTAATTGATGTAGGTGAATCTACAAAAGATCTTGTGTATGAAATATTTGCATTGAAAACAGCTCCAATTCAAGTTAAATTACTTGGACATCATGGAAATAGTGGTGCTATAGATTATTTAGTAACAGATGAACAATGTTCTCAGTCTAATTTAGATTATTTGTATACTGAAAAGTTGGCTTACTTGAATCGAACTGTATTTTTTGGTGATCACAAGTTATTATTTAATGACTTACGTCAAAACAGAACAACAAATAGGAATAATTACAATGGAACCATGGGTATATTTAAAAGGTATAATTAATTTATGTACAACATTCAAATGTTTCCTGGTGATTATCTGAAGTGCTATACAAGACAGATGTATAATCTGCCAGAAGACTATAGTGTATTGCTATTTTGGACAACCTTATAAAATAAATCAAACTACTTCAAATATGTGGATAATCATTCTAAGGGATGTTAAGAATTCTGTGTTATGGCTTTTACCGTTTGTTGAGGATACCGAAAATAACATTCATGAATATTTTGAATTAAATGGTATTGATCCAGTACGAATAATTTTCAGCAACATAGCACTTAAGGCTGAACATCTGAGAAGAATTCAGCTGGCTTATGTATATTTAGATACACCATTTTACAATGGTTATAACAGTTGCTTAGATGCATTATGGGCAGGAACGCCAATAGTAACATTATCTGGAGATACATTTGTGGCCCGCATGACTACTTCACAATTAACTGTGATAAACTGTACAGAATTAATTGCTTTGACTGAAGTTGACTACACCAAAATAGCAATACAACTAGAGAAGCACACCTATCTATTGGACCAAATAAAACAACAAATATGGCAATTGAAAACAACAAGTGTACTGTTTGACTGTAAATCCTATTGTAATGAACTAGAAAATCTTTACTTAGATATGTGGACAAAATTATTTTAATCAGTGTATATGAGTTGCTACAGTGTGGGAATGATAAATAGTAATATTGGTTTTTTTATTTAAGATTTTAAATACAATTGTATAATAAAAAAAAAAAAAAATAAATGACTAAATACAGTTATTCTCTATGAACATCGCCAGTACTTTTTTTCATTACTAAACTATACAATTTTAATAATAATAATAATTTGCATTTATTTTTTTAAATAATAAATCAGTAATTGTAAATATGCATTATTTATTTTATCCCAATTATTATTGAGAAAACTATTTGGAAAATTTAAAAGACCTCTTGTGTTTTGAACGGAGCAACATTTTTGGTAGAAAATAAATTGCACAATAAAATTAATAGGTACCTACCTATACATTATTCCTTGTTCTAGAATAATACATTCTCAAAAATAAAAATATAAATCTAAGATTTAAAACAACTATATTTTATTGATTATAATATTGTTTTTTTGTTTCCCAAAATAATAGGATAAAGTCATATCTATAAAATGTAATTCAATCTTGAATATAGTTTGGCAGTTCACTGAAGCCGCCCCTGCTTATATGTATATATATACAGAGAGAGAGAAACTTGTAATTAATACAAATCGTTAAAAAATATTCAAAAGTCAACCATATCTCATAGTCCCATCATGAAAAAATCATTTGATCGTCACTGGTGGTTATAGACGTGTACCAGCTATATACCTATATCTTGGATTTAAGGACAAAATATTTCGGAAAATAATAAAACAATTCGTAATGATATTAATTATATATTATATATTTAAGTATTGTTGATTATTTAGTTTTTGATTTAACAGTAAATAAATATGGTGTAAGCAAATTATTAACATTTAATTATCTGCATAGAATGAATAATATATCTGTTCTGTGGTTTAACATTATAAAGTATAGAGCCATTGTTGACACATTTTGATTATAATCGCATAGACATATCTCAGTTGTCTAATCTGACCTAGCTATTTACTTCTAATGGTTCTTATATACTTATAAATACAATACATATTATGTGTTTAATATATGATAAAAGCAATATACATTTTTTGTAGTTTGGTAAAACGTTATAATATTATTATTAAAATGTATATAGATATATTTGCATATTTCTATATCTATAGTATAATTTCATTTTTTCTATCTAAATAATTAAATATATTAAATTATTGTATCTAAAGGTGTTGTATTTTTTTTTTTATTATAATAAATATTTATATTTTTGTTTCAAAATATGTCAACGTATACGAGATTAAGTCTCAATCGTTAACTTATTTTCCTAGAAACCTTCTAAATCTAAATCCTCTAAATTTATCCTTGGGTAATTATTAATATAATTATATGAATTAATATTATTATATTGTATCACTTAAATTATTATATCTACATATTAATATTGCTGTTATCTATGATTTAAAAAAAAGTAGGTAACCTAAAAAGTTTTATCTATTATAACAGTTTCACGATTTTAAATAAGAATAATATAAATAATACATTCAAAATCCATGCATGAATTTAAATTAAATAAATATTTCAATAATTTTACGGTAAATTTTTAATTTTTCTTTTCGTTTCAATCATTTTTAATATTAAATGTATTGTAAATTATTGTATTACGTTCGGTAGGTATTTATGTATAATTAGATCTTCTTCTATTCGAATTACTTTGATTACTGCAGATCAGGGGTGGTAGGTAGGTATATAATATAACTATTAAGTAGTTTGCTTTGAACTCAATTTACATAATTATTATCTATTGAACAAATGTTCTTGACTTAGACCGTTTAAACGATATCGTTTTATGATATGACTAAAACTACATACTTTGCCTATTTATATCATAGTATAATATAATGTATTAAAATATGTGTTATAAATATTACAAAAAACATCAATGACAATGAGGATTGATTTTCAAATGATACATAGATAGGTATATATATATATAGTAATAGTCAAATAAAACTATAATACTATTATTTCGGCAAATACTACAGTATAACATTATGTATGCATGTTCCAAATCAACATTATTTTTCATTACTCATTATGATTTCACCAGCTTCTTTGACTTCGTTCCATGTCACGTTAATATCTTCCATCTGTGTGTACTTGGAACAAATAGCCATACGTAAGAAAAACGATCCTTTGACTTTTGACGGAACCATATAAATTTTGCCACGATCGTTTATCTTTTTCAACAGTGCTTCGTTGATTTCATTGGATCCCTATATTAACAAGTAATAATAAATACACACATATTATAATATTATAATTAATATATTTTAAGATATATGTCATGACTAATAATAATAATTATAAGAAAAATAAAATAATATTTGTGTATTATTAGTAGGGAGGAGGAGGTTAGGTTAGATTAGATTAGGATCGAAGGTGAAATATTATATTTTTAAATTCAATTTCTTTTTCTGGTATCGTTTAATTGCAGGTTTTGTGGCTACAAGTAAACAACTACAAAAATAATCTTTTTATCTGAACTTAAAACATAGTGTACACTCCTATAGAATCCCTTTTTATTTGCCGAAAATAGATACTGTAATCTTTTACACATACCTTTTTATATTTTTAAGTTTGGGATATGTAATGTTTATTTCATATATTACAATGCTTCTTGCATATTGCTTGTAGGTACTTTTAGTATATATTGTAAGTATGTTTCCATTCTTTTGGAGATAATATTTTAAAACCATATTTTTAAAATAATAACAAAAATAAAATTTAGTAAACATATTTCGATAACGTATGGATACGTTATTTCCGGTTAAGGAATTTGTTTTTTATTTGCCGTAAATGTGTCCAACAGCGGAAATAAGTGGTTGCAATTTTCATTTGTGTCAAAATTGATTCAGAAAATATCAACAATTAGGCCTTACAAATCACTACAACAATAATGAATCTGAAATTGGTAAATTTTTAATGGATACCTTTGGTTTACCATTTTTGGAAACCAACAATATTAAAAATTCTTTTGGATTTGATCTATTAAAAAGTAAAATATATGACGATAACATTGAATAATAGTGCAACTATTTAACTAAAAATGTGGGTTTTAATTAATGTTTTAGTATTCAGTTTTTCCTCAAAATGATGGTCTAATAATTGAACAACAAATGCATGTGAATTGTTTCATTGCAAATTTAATACTCGTAGTAATTTTTATTATGACTATACGAATTTACATTTATTTGTAAACGTTTTCCTAAATAGAAATGTACGTAAAAACTAGAAGCAGTGATGTACTACGGCTTAGGTGAACAAAAATAATTTCAAAATATGAGAAAATAATTTATCAATATATGAAATACGAATAGAGAGAAATTTCACTAAATGAATTAATTATTATGGTGTGTTGTAGAAATAGGCGTAAATAAATCAGTAATTATTACTAATTTTAGTAGTTTATAAAAAAAAATATATTAAAATATTTTGTAATTTATGATTTTTTACAACTATGACCGTCTATAGTGTATAGGAGTTAATACTAGAAGTTAACACTGTATCTTTAGTAGAAGTTTATACTCGCTATATGTAAATATTACCTATTTTTTGTTGGAATGTACTAGCCCCTAGTCTTGTATCTATATTGTGCATTAAAATGTAGGTATATGTTTGTAACTGTCCATGTCGGAAAAATCAAAGGAATCAATGTGCTTTCAAAACTTTTAAATCGAATTTATTTTTTCGACAATTTCTGTTGAAACTCGTTTCTTGACCCCAGTGCAATTCGACTATTACCTTCTTTTTTTTTTTAAACCCGAATCGTGCAATTCGACCTAATCTTAATTTACACGTTTTTGGTTATTATTAAACCACAATAATTACGTCACTCCGGGTCCTTAGAAATAGGTACCTACATATTCATGTTTACATTATTTTATATTACGTAGCTAAGAATTAAACTAGTATAATACATTTGTATATACCGTAATATTACCTTAATTCTGAAGCACACCAATCCCATAGTAACTTCGTTAAACAACTCGAAGTTTGGATTGTTTTCCAATCGTGAGGCGAATTCGTGAGCCAGATTTATATCTTTCCTGATGGACTTTTGTAAATTCGCCACGCCGATCAAACGGAACACGAACCACATTTTCAACGAACGGAATCGTCTGCCCAACGGTATTTGCCAATGCTATACAATGTTATCGTATTATGGTAAATATTATACAATTAATATCTCTATCTTATATTTTATCATATGATACGTTTTTATAGTTTTATGTCCCACGAAGGTATTATATACCCATTGTAATATTTCCGGAGATAATAAAAATAATCACATTTAGTTTTGTTTTTTTATATTACTCGCAGGAACAAGGACTATAAGTACTTATTTTTGAATTACATTTTTATGTTTCGGTAAAAAAAACTAAAAAAATATTTGTATGTTATTATTTTTGAAAAATTTGAAGATCCGAAAAAGTTCCGAAAATGTACACGAAAAAGTGTACATTAAGTTAACCATAAAAATAATAACGAATTAGGAAATTCGTTTACAGTCTGCTGTCTAATTAATAGATACTTTTCTGTGAACTTTAAAAATCACGAATTAAATGAAAATAAAATATTGATACGTCAACATTATCAAAAGAATAAACTCTATAAAATTACTATCTTTAAATTTTTCAATAATAGTAATATTAAAAGTTATTTTTTAGTTTTTTTACCGAAACATAGAAATTTAATTCAAATATAAATATTTATAGACCTTAACCTTGCGAGTAATATAAAAAAAACAACAGAATTTGATTATTTTTATTATCTTAAGACATATGCAATGGTTACCTTTATATTTGTGGGACACCCTATATATATATACAGTCAAATATACTGTCTATATATATGCATTTGAAAGAGAAAATAAATGCGGCATGTATTCAATTTACTGAAAGGAAAATTTTAACTGCAATAAATAGGGAACTTCTACGGAGAGTAGAAATTACTTAAATCATAATGAACAGTAATTTGAACAATTTATCAGATGAATGAATGTACTAACTATAAAATTTAAAATCAAAAAAATTAATTGTATTTTTTTATTTAGTCACCTAAAGAAAAAAGTATAAGAAAATAAAGAGAGGATAATCCTTCCTCCATTGTACTAAAAATATCACTAGATGATATCATATGTGTAAAAAGGAATAATTTAAATCTACAAATTGTTGAATAATTCAAGAATATTAAAAAATAACATTAAACATTTAAATATCCATAAATCGGCTTTTTTTTTAACTTAGGAAGTTGAAAAATTAGCTGGCGTTCCTCAAGGTAGTGGCATCGCCCCCTTCCTTTACATTTTCTACACCGCAGATATACCAATCAACCAATCAACCTTCATCGGAACATATGCCGATGACACAACCATACTTGCCTCAAATTCTTACCCTGCCGTTGCCAGCCAAACAATCTAAACCTATCTCAACATCTATATGTCTTGATTCAATAAATGGGGAATTAAAATCAATGAAACCAAATCATCTCACATAACCTTCTCACTACGACTTCAAGACTGCCCACCGATCACCTCGAATAATTCCATCATACCTCACTACTCGCAAGTCAAATATCTCGGGCTCACACTAGATAGTAAACTTACTCGGGGTCCCCACTTTAAGGTCACACAAAAGAAGCTAAACAGCAAACTTTACTTACTAAGACCCTTATTCAGGTCTACCATTAATATTTAAAATAAACTTCTCATCAATAAAAGTCTCCTCCGTCTCATATTGAATTATGGCATCATACTCTAGGGCCCAGCTAGAAAATCAAATTGCCAAACAATTCAAGCCTTCCAATCTATTTGTCTGCGTATTATCACAAAAGCAGGGTACGTAACAAACAAATTACTCCACGACGACCTCGCAATTAAAACCATCTACGATACAGCTATCATCTTCTACAAAAAGTTTTACGAGAAATTCATCACGAACACTAACCACCTTATTTCATAATTTGCATCAAACACACTTCCTAACGACCTCATAAGACGTCTCAAACAAAATTGGTGCAGAGATCTTAGCTTATAACCTATAAGGTATAATCATACAGCTAATGCATCCTATTCATTGTAAAATGTGACTCGACTGCAAGTCTTCCTTCAAGCCATTCACTGCCTATTTTATTTTATATTTATCAAATTTACTTATTATATGTATTATATAGATTGTAAATTATAAATAAACGCCAATTTAAAAAAAACTCAGGAAGTTGGTTTGACCATTCAAATTCATAATAAAAAAACATGAGTAAAAAATAATTACCCAAAAAAAAGGGATTTCCATTTAAAAAAAAAAATAGTTATTATGCGCATACACGAATTAAATGTTACAAAATAGTTTAACATAGCAATGTTTGTTAGGCATAAAAAAAAAACGAAATTCAAATATATAAATTATGAGCAGAGTTATAAAGCATTTCCAATTAACGTTTACATACTGTAAATAAGGCTATAAGGGTAAAGATAGAAAGTACTTACTCTGTAATCCGGCATTTGTCCCTCGAGTTCGTGTTTCAAATAGAGCGGATCCACATTAAATGCATTTATCACGTAGTTAGGATTTTTTAACCACTACAATTTCAAATTAATGTGATTAACATACAAGTACATTTAAATTTTACACGATCAAAATCAAAATTATATTTCTATTTTTAAAAAAAATTGTATTTAATTGTACAAGTGGGTATAAGAAGAAGAATGATACCATCCAAAATGTATAAACGTAAATAAATTTACATGCAAAGAATATTCCCGTGTTATTACCACAAGTAATTTTTCTGAAATTTTGTTTAAAACTAAATTGTTTACGAACAATTATTTCGTGCGAATTAACTATTAACATACAAGCACGCAAGAACGTAAATAAATTATAAAGGTATTCAAAGGAAAATATAATATACAAAATAATTGCACAGACAAATATTAAACAGGAAACGGAAATTTCGGAACCGTATTGCAGGAAAAGACGTGTGTTATACAGAAAACTGAAATCGGGGAAAATTATTACGCAGAGTTATCCAAGCACCTCCGTGCTTGTCTACTATCAGTGCGGTCGGTGCTGATTATTATCGTAGCTTTGATTTTATAATAAATAGTACACTATAAAATCAATAGCACTATATAAATATTCGGACTTAACCGAAACTTTTCCCAATTTCAATTTTCTGTGTAATATATTTCCCGAGTACACTTTCTTGTGTTTTGCTCTGAATTTACCCATACTAGTTTCCTTAATTTAATTTCCCTGTATAGTACGTTTTCTGTACAGTAAATATTTCCAGTTAATTATCTTAAAAATATATTCATGTGTTTTATTTGTGTTTTAATTTTTTGTAGCCCTCCGTATTCTCGTGTGTTGATGTGTGCGTTTTCCCACTCCTAAAATAACCGTAAACCGTAAACAGATGTAATTGATGGTCCAGCTAATTATGGTGCTCGCATCGAAAGAAATTTAAAAATTACATATTGATAATTTTAATAAAATATCTATACCGATAAATTGCAATAAACTCAAATTTGTTCATTCCCTTAATAAATCCTTTAAATCACAAGAACTATTGAGTACTCTGAAATTGTATAAGTTTTTTTTTATCGATGCATTATCATTATAGGTGAAAATAATAATTTTATATTATAAAATAGGTAATTTGAAACAAAATATTATAATATAAATATTATAATTACCATTGCCGAACAATCGAACGTAACCTGAAGCCATTTATGCGGGTTAAAATTAAATGAATGGACTAATTCAACACCTTTCATGTAATGTCGATATTCCGGACAAACAAATGACGATCCTGAAAAATATTTATAATAATAAAACGTAAAAACGTAAAAGTTAGTTAAAAATACCCACCTAATAATAATAAGGTATTATTATCGCGACATTCGAAAAACGGGTTTTAATAATCTTTCTCTAGGAATTATTATTAATTCACTAAGTATAATTTTAAGGCAAAAAATACAAAAAAATTGTCAATTATAAAATATAATAAAACCAATATATATTTCATATCATGGGTAGCAGGGTAGACCATTGTTTTAACGATAGTTTAGGAATGTAGAATATACATTACATACTATAATATATAGAATAATAGGATATAATGTATTCTAATATATTATACACCCTATAGAGTAATTTAAATTATATAACTATAAGCAACAAAAAAACCATTGCAAACGAAAAATTAATCGTAGCTATGTAGTATTAGTCCTGTTTATTCGTTTATAAAGCGATAAACTAGGTATTTCTAACGAAAAAAGATTTGGAGCGAAGTAATATTTACGAATTTCGTAAAAATTTGATATTAAAACTTTTATAAAAAAAAAAAATTATTACATTACAGTCAATTTGTTTTTTTTACCACTAAGAACGGCTTATAATAAACCTCCTGTTAAGTTGTCAAGTATTTCTGTTTGGTCAAACAATTTTATCTATGGAGTACCTATTGAATATAGATTACGTAAAAAACTAGCAAAATTAAAATGCTTTATAACGTCGTAAATTTGTTAGTTTTAATTTTATGTCTTTTTCAGGTTTTTCTAAATTATTATGAAAACTACTTTCTATTACTGAAAACTAAATTTCGTAAGCAATTAGGTTCAAAATTCAACAAGAAAAGTCTTTAAGCATTTTTTGGTTTAAACAATATTTCTAGTAGGAAACATAGTTCGCTACACTTGTTGATTAGACATCAGAGCAAATTTTCTTTTGTTTACAGACAGAAAAAAACACACATCATATAGTGAAACTAATAGACCCTTCACTTCGCTTTAAATTTAAAAATATAAGAAATAAAAAAAGAACCCAGGGGGCAAATTGTTAAAAATGTCAATAAATGTTTCAAATAAAGTACTACCGGCCGGAAATGTTGCATCTTTTGAGGAATATAATGGTATGACAAAATCGAAGCGTTTCAACAAATTGAAATAGGTTTTCCTAAAAACAAAACTACGAATAGTAGCTTAATAAAATATTATCGCTCACCGGCGTAAGCGGCGTCCACATGCACCCAGATGTCTTCCTCTTTTCCAACTTCAGCAATCTCATCCAGACGGTCGAACGAACAACAGCTAGTTGTTCCTAGCGTGGCCACCACAAAAAACGGAATCAGCCCATCAGCACGGTCCTTTCGGATAATATCCCGGAGAGTGTCGCCCCGAAGCTTGTGTTCGCCGTCAGTTGCCACAGCTCGGAGAAGCACGCCTCCCAATAGGCCGGCGCGCTCCACGGACGAATGGGACAGTTCGGACGAGTACGCCACCAGTTTGGGAACGACATCCGAGTCCACTATGGCCGGGTCGGTCGCTTTTATCTTTTGCAGCATCCGCGCCTTGGCACCCAGCAACGCCACCAGGGTTGCTTCGCTGGCCGTTCCCTACGATATAAAATCTTAATCATAACATTTTTTGTAAAACCAAATTTCAACCAAAATAAAAAAGGAGAAAGAACGAACTTGAACCACCAAATAATTTATCATGATTATTTTAATATCTAATAATTTAAAGGTTTTCAAACTGGAATAACCATTTTTGTAGTTATTGTGGTATCGAAAAAAGTAAAAATAATATTACACAATGCAAGTAGATTTTAAATTTCATCTGAAACTTATGAAGACACGTGAGCAACTATTATAAATCGCCATTTATTTTTGGAATTTTCTGTTTACCTTTCCCTGAAAAAAGGTCTGCGGATGCTCATAGTAGATACAAGTTTTCTTGTTTTTGTAGCGAAAATATACCTAGTTTATTAATATTATTACAATAACACAAAACCCCTTAAATAATGGAGAGCAGTTGACGTCCTCATTGATATGGAAGGAAAAATCCTTATTTATCGAAATCTGAATTAATAAGTAAATGATCAAAAATTTATCGTTATATATGACACGGCTAATATTGAAAATTAGATAATTTCAAATTTTTGTTTAATACAACCAATCTTGTGTTTTTAGTTTTAATATTAGAGCGAATTGAATTATTACCAAACTTTCAGGTAAAAACATTGTCAACTGTGTTTGTATGCTGGTTATATTTATTCGATATTTTAATTTTCAAGTGAGATACGAGTATGTGAATTATTACAATTGAAAATTAAATAACAAAAAAAAAAAAAAACAACATACAAATACAGACAGTGTTCTTATTCTTCTCTTTATAATTATATGTATGATAATAGGCCAATTCATTGTAATATTATAACTAACAGCACAAAATTGGTTCGAAACCACTACTGTACGAAAATTAGATATTGTCTAATTTTCAATATCAACCGTGACATTTAATATGTATAACGTATATTATATATTGTATAATCAATATACTGATATCTATATTGAAAGACGGATTTATACATTTAATTTTTATACGAATAATTAATTTTTATCCTTCCGTCTTTTTAATTAAAAAGAAAATTAAACACATTTATAATAGCGGTTGAAACCTTAAAAACAAAAGATTAATTTTATTATTGAACAAAAAAAAAAAATGTCGTCTCGGCAGTTTTGTTTGGGAAATAAATAACGAAAATAAAAAAATATTTCGAAATACGCGTCCTAATTTTAAATATAAAATCATAATGCGTGAAAGAAAAAAAAAAGAACTATAATAATACATATAGGTACTTACGCATGTGTGAGCAAAATGCACTTAATTTTTGTTTTCATTTATTATGGGTACATATCTTAAGAAATACATATTTTGTGTTTAAAATCGGAGAGAAATATAATTAGTTTTATGTTAGAGCACATAATATTATAATATACAATGCTGAAAAATACACAATAATTTGCATCACGGACATTTTCGTTATTTATATTGATACCGTTCTTTTTGTGCTATTGTCCACTGTACCAATATCAAAGATTTGATTTTACATAAAATATACTTTTAATAATCAATGCGCATATTATATAAATTATCGGCTGTATAAATATGACATACCTGTATGACACCACCTCCGCCTTGACCGGCAGAAGCTAAAAACATTTCCGGTAAGCCGATCATTTTAGCTAACCAATCCATCATGACCACTTCGAGTTCAGTACATGCGGGACTCGATATCTAAGTAGGTATAATATAGCAATTAATAACATAATATTATTTTAATATATTGACCTATTAACAGAGACCTATTTAGGAGATAAGGGAGGAAACATTGCATACAATATAACAAGTGCTCAACGCTCTCAACACTCGTTTGATAATATTATCATTATTTTAATTTTTTGTTATTTCGTACAAATCTGTGAAGTATGGCAATGTTATAAATGAGTTTAGTTAATCAAAAACATGCAAAAAAATACAATTTATTTTTGTAGTAATTGTGTAAGTAATTAAAGTAATTGCCATATATATTATAAATTATTACAATTCAATAAATTACAACTAATTTCATTTTCAAACATTTATATTTAATGGAGGGGAAAGGGTAGGCAAAACCCCGAATATGTCTCTGTCTCTAAAGTCTATAAAATCCGATACCATAGATATCAATTTATCTATACAGTTTTCTAATGATAATAATGAATTGATATATTGTACATTTTATTTATAAGGTTTTAAGGATTTAAGGTTAGAATAATTTACTATAATAAACAAGTGATGTTGTCGAATGATTTAAAATTAATTTAATTTCTATTTTTTTCAATCATTATGAAGTCATTTAAGTTTTAATATAACATTTTTAATTTATACCACTACTCTTTATACCCAATTTACAATTTCGATTTCAAATAAGAACTCCTCCTTTTCGGTGGCAAAGTGAATCTGTAATATTCCAGAAGAAACCTGTAATTCACTCGGTACCCACCCACCAATATTTTCCAATGTTCACCTATTTTTACTAAATTAGTAAATGAGTACTAATATTTAATTGTTTTCGTATTGAGCATCCACCTTCTTCGTTTCTCAAAGATCGAATTCGTTTCGCCACTGTCCCCTTATTTAAATTAAAACTAGTATATTCAATATTTTTCTACAGATATTGATACGCATATAACGCTATGGTATCGGATATACCGCTTAACTGTTATAACAGTTTAAAAATGTATAGAAAAATAAATTCTATTAGAATCTGTGATTATAGGAGGAAAGTACCTATTTAAAAAACTACAAGCGTATAATCATTTAAGGATATACGGAGTAAGGGTGAACAATTTAAAATAGTATTAAAATAATGCTTAAATAACTCCATAACGATTGAAAAATACAGATATCAATTATCAAACTGTAACAATGTGACTTATAATCTTCTAAGAATATCGCTGGTTCATAATATAATTAATTATTGTCCTGTATACAAGACATTTGTATACCTATACAGGTTTATACACTATACAAATTACAGATCGTTTCTACAATTGCCAATATGAGTGGTTATAATAGTTTAAAATATTATATAGGCGAAACATATAAAATCGAGAATTTTATAAGCGAACTTTATGAAAACAAAAAAATTGTCAAGTAGTATTATGGCCATTCATAATTGATTTCGAGATAAAATGTACAATATTAACGATATTGATTTATGTTCATAGTATATTTGAATGTTCAAAATAGAACACAAAGTATTATTCGTTTCGTCACACTGCAGGATAAAAAAAAAAAATTCAATTACCCACGAAAATCCGATGCAAGCGATTGAATCGCTCAGTATGTCGGCGACAATAGCCGGATAGCTGTTTGCCGTAGGAAAATAAGCATGGAATCTCGGAGAATGCCAATGTGTCACCTACAAACACATTTAATAACACGATTATTCATAAACATCGCGTCGCTGATATTTTATATCGTCATGATTAGTATTTTTTAATTTTTTATTGTTATAGAATATGCGTATCATATGTATCAAAACGCGCACGGCTCTACGGTTTTACCCCGGGCATAATCAGCTTTTCGACGTCATTCATGACGTCTTTCCAGTTTTCCGGGTCGTTGGGTGCCTCCGCGGGTAAAAGCGGTCTCAAGTAACCCGGTTTCACGGACGATAACACTTTCCTGTATAACAAACGAAACGGATATAAACTATTATGTATATCAATAATTAACCATATAATATTATTCACCTATAGCGGCCGTCGGTTAAAACACAAAAAATGTTATACTCTAAATATCTTTTAAATTATAATCAATATAGTGGTGGACACAGGGGAAGGGGGAGGGTGTTCGATTATTTCTTTTATTGAAAAGTTAAACAAATGTAATGTAATATATTGATATAATATTATGTATACCAGCTAATTATACATTATAAAATACGACTGAATGTGGAATTCTACTTTATGTTATTTTAAACATTTAAATTATATTTTATAGCTATTACTGACAAATTAGGGCAGGACATTTTTCTCAAAACATTTCATTGTGCCAATATCATGCCTATTTGCTTCCAAATATTATATCGAATTAATAAAACCAAATACTATATAAAAAGTCTTAATTTTCAGCTAGCACTGACTGCTTTAACTATTGTGTATTAATGAAAAATTAACCTTAAGATGATGTCAGACGTGACTTCTGCATTATGTGTGCTGTCTCCGTCTTACAGATACACCAAGTAGTAAATTTGAGTTGAACAGGGACGAATTTGCACTGTTAACTTTAATATTAGGATTAATTAACTTATTTTAAAAAAATAAAACTTAAAGGAAAGAATATAATCTGCGCAACCTTGTTAGTTTTTTTGGATATTTCAATTTTTAATTCGAGTTATAAGTATTTTTAAATTGTTATATTTTAGATACCTATTCATATAATCTTGCTTTAAATTAAAATATCGGGAAAACTTAAATGTATGAATGAATAATGTTCTTATCATTAAGTTTGATAATAGGCTAATTAACTTTAATATTATAACACAAAGTTGTCCTTGCTGAACGCAAATTTGCTATGCCGAATATTTGTAAGGTGGAAACATATGCAGATATCACATCATCACGGATAAAATTCTGTTGGACATAATTAAGTTGCGAAACATAATACATTTCACTTAGTTTAATTAAAATCAACTAAATTTTTCAATTTTTCAATTAATTTATATCCAGTCTTGATTTGCGTATAAAAATGTTTAGAAGAATATTCTTTGCAAGTATATGATATTTATGTAGAAAAATTACAAAGTATTATTTTAAGGGTGAAAATATTTTGTTTTGATGTTGGGGAAAAATGGTCTAGATTTATGTTTTTTATTTTTGGAGAAAAATGGTCAGTGGAGAAAAATAGTTTACCATTTTTAGAGGAAAATAACTACGGCCACAAATTAATCAATATTTGATAAAAATATTACTTACCTATCCCGAATATTTTCCAAATAATTTCCAACATAATTGATCATGTCTGCAGAAAACTCTTTAAACTCTTTGAAATCCATAACGTTATCCTACAAACATACACATACATATATTTATTAATGAGCTGCCACAGCCAAAATGTCTATAATTTATTATCACGGTACACAATGGTTCATGCAATTATAAAAAAAATCTGATACTGCTGATGGATGAGTCTCTATTATAGATGGGAAGTTAAGAAAGTAGGATACATAAAGTTATTTAATTTATATTTGTAAGCAACGATAAACCATTGTTAATGAAAAACGATTCTTAATGAAGTTCATTTATACATGATTTGTATGGCTGTATCTACAATATTTACGATTTTCTTCAAAATTTAATAATAAAATGATAATAAAAAAAAAAAAATTACATTACACTCCAATTTTTTTTTACCTCTCAAATTTTAAAATATTTCTGTTTAGTTTAATAATTTTATTCACGGAGTATTTACCTACCAAACAATTAAAATAATTATCCTTTTTCTTAATTATTATGAAAACTACTTAGAAAATCAAAAAATGACTAACTTCATAAGTAATTAGATCTAAAATGAAACAAAAGAGATCTTAGACATTGTTTGATTAAAGTAATATTTCTAGTAAAAAACATAGTTTTCAAAGTTAAAACCAATGAAATCGGTAACATTGCGGCACGCCGTAAATATTTGCCGTTTTACCTATAATTTTGTTTCCAATTTTTCCCAATTATTTTAAAAAACCTAATGGAAAATCAAAAAAATGATGCCTTTAATGCATCAGCTAGATGAAATTTTTTTTCAGAAAAGGTGCTTGATACATCGGAGCAAGTTTTTCTTTTGAAAAGTTGTTTACAGGCAGAACATAAATACATTTAAGTAAAACCAATAGATCCTTCGATCCATTCCGAATTTGAACGTGAATGTGATAAGAGTATTGTTTGGTGAAAATTGGGATGTTTGTGTTATCAGAAATTCGAAAGTGAATTCGCGATTATTGCTGCGTTTGAAATAGGTATACCTTTCTGAACTTTGAACTTTACTGCTGTATAGAATACATATAATTTTTAAACCATAAATTATTATTATTGTATCAATTCGAACTAATAAAAACTGCGAATACAAAAAATAAAACTTAAACAATAATCATGTATATAAAGTCAGTTAACTGAAAAAATTTATTTTTACCATCATGTAGGCATTAATTATTGTTAGGATAATTATTTTATCAGAATATATTGGTTAGGTTAGAATGAAACTTTTAGAACATGTAGGTACCTATACTTACTTATAGTATTGAATTCAGACAATATTTTTAGAGGGGGGACATTATTAAAATTATAGTTATGAACTTCTTTTTTTTGCATATCTATCCTCTTACTCAGACCAGTCAAATTTGTTTAATTATTTAATTAATTATTAATTTACCTATATTTAACATGGAAGTCAAAAAAAATTCCAGGGGGGGCTATCGACCCCCTGACATACACCTGGATTCAACACTGCTTATTTAAACTATTAAAAAGTTTCAAAAAGGTACGCGATATTTTTATATTAAAAATTTGGCTATTTTATTATGATTTTTAGATTCTGAGCTGAGCGAGGAATGTATTGGTTTTATTATGATGTTTATTTTTTTTTATGTGAAAACTTTTTCTACCAGAAAGCATACTCCGATTATCAAGTATAACACTTTTTCTGAAAAGAAATGTTATCTGGGTGCTACTTCAAATGGCTTATTTTTTTGAAATTCTCAATAATATTCGAGATAATGAGGAAAACTTCGGTCTTTTGGTTAAAAAGATTGAAAGATTAAAAATAAGGTTTTCAATGACAACCGTTTTTATTTATTTTTGTTATTATTAAGTTTTTTATTGTTTTAATCTTTTTTAAACAATCATTATTGTCATGAAAACGTACATTGTTGTAAACATTTTACTATAATATGATAATATATATACCATATATTGTATTGTGGACAAAGCAAAAATATAAACTGAAATCCGCTCAGAATCGTTTTATCGTTAGCAATGGTTTATCCTTGCTTACAGATATATATTCAATTCTCGTATGTATCCTATATTCCCAACTTCCCACCTACAACAGTAGCTGCACCCACGTGCGAGATATGTCCGACCTTTTTTTTATAAATTGATATACACACATATTATATAGTACCCAGTAATATGACATTAATTATATAGGTATGATTGATGCAAAAACTATTTTATAACCTACTATATAATTTAAAGTTTAATTTTACATGAGTTTAAAGCCTGCCTGTACCTAGTCCGTATTTCTATATAAAAAAATTATAAAGATTTTGATGTCGTCAAACACGTTAACATGTTGAGAAAATAAATAGCTAATAGGTATACATAAAGTTATTTAAATTATATGTCTACGCATTAGGCAATGATTTATATTGCTAACGATGCAAGAGTTTTGGTTTTTTGTAATTATTATGAAAACCGCTTTAAAATCAAAAAAATACCAATGTACCCACTAAATTCAAAATGCAACAAAAATGGCTCTTGTCATTTTTTGATTGGAACGAAATTTCTGGTAGGAAAGCTTTCCCGTCTGACAAAAAAAAAAAAAAATAAGCACACATCATAGTAAAACCTAACCTCGCTACGTTCAGAAACCAAAATAGAACGTTAGGATGCGTGTTTTTGAACATAAAAACCTCGTATAGAAAAATTATTTTAACTTGAAATGAATATGGTTTGATGTAAAATAGCAGTATATTATATAAATTAAAAACACAACTTTAACTGTATAGACGCGATAATATAGTTATATCCATTTAGTTGAATATTTATATAAAAGTTACGGATTTTATGTAAACAAAATTTCACTTTTTAATCTTGAACATCTCCGTCGTCTAAACAAATTGAAAACCCATATCTCATACCCTAAAAAGTGTTATGGATAATACATTTTCAGTGAAAATTTTAAAATCACACTGAGCGTATTTTTTTTTTTTTGTTTAACGTGGAAATTATTATTTTATGTTTTTTTAATAAGGATTTAAGACCGGTTTTAGATTTATACGAAAGTGAACTTTAATAATTTTGAGTCGCGAAATTTTCATACTATTACTTGCAACAATTTCGTGAAATTGCTTAAAACACGCAATCTCTTCAATATTATTAACGTGAATTCCTTTTAAGTGGGTATTCTAATTGCTTTTATAATGATAATAATTATGGTACCTATATAATTATAATATCATTATTATAATATAATATTATATAATTATGGTATTCAATTTGATATAGACACAATAATATAATAAAACTGACGGAAAAATATTAATGAAAACATTAATTACATTTTTCGGTTTAATTATATATATGCCATGCCAACATTTTATATTATAGGTAATAAGTGCAAGCTGTTATCGTACTTGTCACGCTTCTTAATGATTGAGTGCCGTAATATACGTAGGTAACATGCGATAAGTTGAACTTTTCCAATATTATTATAATAATATATTTTGATAATATTTGGTAATTGGTGCATATTTATACAAAATATTAATGATGAAAATAAAGAAAGTGAATGCAATTAAAGCTAATATATTATTGTATATTAGTTATACTTCAATAAAGGATAACTTATAAAAAAAATACTTATTTAACGCTAATTTGTTTAAAAGTACCTGTACTAAATTCAAACGGGATGCCGTTGATTTGATTTGATTTTTTATAATTTAAGGATTATATGGTGAAAAATACAAGCGAATAAACAAGCTAATGTAACGTCATTTTCGTAATGGTGAAGTAGGGATATGTAACTCTAAATGACAATATAGTAGTTAATATTGTTTAGACGAATCAAAATAAATTATCATAAAATACTACGAATAATAATCGTACTGTTTTACCCAATAATCCAGTAAGGAGATGAATCACGGCCACTAAAAAAATATTCGAGTACAAATTATTAACACGCATATTGTGAGCAACTTATTAGTCAATAAGTGTAGGTAGACTTGTAATAATTTTAGTCCGAAAATTATTCAACGTTTTTTAAGTTAATAGCACTTTGAATGAATTAAATCACATTTAATAATTCATAAAATCAGCGCTTAAATTGGAAACATAAAAGAAGACTTAAAAAAAAAATTAGCTATATTATTGAACTCAACGTAACTCATGGGGGAACTTCGCTACCAACCCCCCCTCCATAACAAGTTTTAAACATATTTCAGTGATTAATAAATTACAAGAAAAACCCCTACAATGCAGACTTATAACACTGCTGGCTAAGTTTTTGCTTAAAGTATTTTATATAAGATTCTACTGATTAGATTGATAGATTTAATATGAAGTGTTTTTTTATTATGGTTTCTGGTTGAAAATAGGTACTTTAGTTCAACCTTTTTTATTCTACGCCTCCTTGTAAATTTTCAAAAACTTCACACTCCTTCTCTCTTAAATTAGATTAGACTATCAGTTTAGACTGCACTTTTACCTTTGTCAGCTGTACAAATAAATTTTACAAAATAACTGTACATAATGTAACTAAAATTAAATTATTGTTTTAAATTTTACTGATTGTAAAATAGTATAATTATTTTAACAACAAAATTTTCGCTATTACATCATCATTATAATCTTCCCGTGCAGTATCTAAATTTCCCCTGGGAGAATCCCTCCCTCCCGGTTAGGAACTACTGTTCTAGTTGGTGCGATAAGGAGGTGATTTTGTTATTTCAATTTTTTTGGTTTTTTTAACTATGGTAAAAATAGTAAAAAAATCTAATTGTTCGAGGTTTGTAGGTTTTTAATTGGCTTTATATGATTAATAAAATTGTTTTTCAAAAAACACAAGTTTAAATCAAACGGTTAAACATGAAGGTAAATGTTTATAGAATTTCATAAAAACGTCTAAATTTATTTTTGTTCTGTTGTCATTTAGTATGACATACTAAATCACAGAAATTTGTTAGTAAATTAACGCAAACATCAAATGTTGACATATCTTTAAGCTTTGGCCATTTTAGAAATTACATTGACATATTTAAAGGAACCAATATCAGAAGAATCTTTTGAGAAAACTAATATAGATTCAACAGCACTTGAAACGGAAGTGGAAATAGAATCTTACTCTTAATTAATAAACTCGACAAACTTTTAAGAAAAAAACAATTATTTCGGTACTATTATTTTTATTTGACCAGATGAAAACTTGAATTTAAAAAAAACTATTAGTTTGAAGTTTAAGTATAACAAGCAAGTGGAGCAATGTAAATAAAAAATTGATTATTTGTATTTTAGATTTTGAGTGGTACGAAGAAGCTTATGGTTTTACAAAGACGTTTTTTTTTCTGTGGACAAATTTTCTACCAGCAATTTTGCTCCGATTTACAATGATAGCACTTTTTCAGAAAATTAATCTGACTGGAAAGGTATTTTAGGGAAACCATTTTTAGATTTTCTCAAGAGTTTTCCCAGAAAATGTGAAAACATGGGAAAACCGGGAAAATCGGGATTCATTTCAATTTTGGAATTGGAATAATTCGAATTTTACCACAATATGACATATTTATTGTTGACAAAACACCACTATATCAACTTAATTCCGCTCAAAATCGTTTTTTTTTTTTTTTAGAAATGGTTTATCGTTGTTTACAGGTGTACATTAAATAGTACTTATAACAATGGCCACACCCGACCCCATTATCCTAGGACGTCTTCTTATTTTTCTTATTGATTAAACGTATTGTGCCTTAATTCAACCTACTTATAATTAATTAAATTACCCTAAATATTTTTTTAAATTTTCGGAAGACAAAATTTCACCGTTTAATCTTCAACAATATAATCCAGTATTCAATTAGTTTTGTTAATTTTGTATAAATAACTGTAGTAATTATATTTACACCAATTTATTGTAAGGGGTGGCATTTTTTTTAATTGCACAGGGTGGCAAAATACTTTGCGCCAGTCCTGAGTTGATGAAAATTTCTGAAAAATTAGTTGAAGTATAGATCATCCAGTGTTCTCCTAATTCGAATACTGTATCAAAATATATAGTGTCGCGAAGGTGCTTTCGATTATTCTCAAAACTCGTCTGATTCAATGGTTTCAAATATTCAGGATCTTCCTAGCAAGAATGCTTATTGTGCAATTTTAATAATTTCTGCGTTCACACGCAGAATCTAGTATACCTATTGGAAATCCTGTAACGTATACGTACACTATAATATTTATTAACGTAATAAGGCGGAAAATATTATCTATAATAATTATATGCCGTGTTTGTAGGAGCTATAGATGATAAATTCGATAATAGGACTGAATCCATGGGGAAGAAGACCTAGGAAAGACCGACACGAGATGGGAAGATGTAATAATAAATAGTGCCTATGTGGATTTGGCGGTGGTTCAAACTGGAAAGAAAAATCAATGGATAGGAAATGAAGGATTGAGTGCAAGATGGTCTAGAAACCACGGAGGCCTAGAAACCAAAATAGATAAATATTAAAAAAATTATTCGGTATAGGTACATAATAATTAGTTCATAATTCCGTAAGTAATATTTACAAGTATAACGTGTATTGTTCATACCATTACAACTGGGAATTATTTCTATTCGCGAATTCACAATATCTATACTTACACGATATTATTATGTATTATTTAATACATAACAAATACCTAACAATAATAATGAAAATAAAGTAGATCCAAGTAAAACCAGTTTTAAACACCTTGGACTACATTACGCACAGTATTCAGACAGCAATAAAGTTGAGGTCGTTTACGCAGAGTAGGTTTTATCCTCGATGACGTGTGGGAAAACGTAATCGCTTGACCAAATCTTACATTCGTATTATTTGTTCGTATGGCCTAATCAACTATACTAAGCCCCTTCACCCGTGGTCCGGAAGTGACGATAACCCGCCGTGTGTCATGGACCAAATAATATGATTAACGAATTTGACGTAATGAAACTCGTTTATAATGTAGGTATTCGAAATAATTGAAAGACCTAACCAATTGTACGTTGGTATTGTGCCATACACAAATAATCGATCACGAGTTAGGTGGGTCGTTACGACACTAAATGAAATATATAGTAACGATACTCGCGATTTAATAGGATTTATATTTTAATGGTGTAATATGGTATTATTAAATGTCCAATTACATAGAACTAACTAATGGTTATAAAATAATACAATCATTAAAACATATTTTCACTATCGTTCAACTTTTATAATGGTACCGCACTGTATATAAGTTTATATTATCTATATTGTATAAAAAATAAATCCTTGTTAACGAGCATACCTACATGGTAAAGTAAGTACCTATCCCTAGATAGATACATTTAAAATTAATTTTTAAATTCAGTGCGGTTTCGTCATTTCATTTCTATTTGTTTTTGTATTTGTATTTTTTTTTTTTTTTTTTATTCGGTAAGTCTTAATTTTTTTCCTCGTAAATATACCCGGTATTAGTATAGTAGTAGGTATAATTATAGTAGTACGTATTTGAAGTTAATAGACAAATAACTATATAGTTATTAAAGTGTGTTGTACATACAGTAGAGATTATAGATGGATATATTTATAAATATCATTATACGAATCTTCCGTGACTTACTTTTCCGTCTTTGATGGGATTAAAAGAATTAGGTATACCTAATTTTTTACTTCGTAAAGTTGGCAAATTTGACGGTATAACTTTCTTGGATGTGGTAACGTGTTATGAAACGTTATTCAGAAAATACGTGAAGGTTATACGCTTAAAAAAAAAAAACCTGTCTTAAAACCAGCAGGGTTGAATTTACACTGGCAGTTTTAAAAAAATAAAGCGGATTTAAAACCTTTCACTGTACACACGTATAGCTTGGTAGATGGATAGGTATGTGATTTATTTCTTTTTTTGATCTGTTTAACTATTTTCTGCAGCTGAATTACATACTCAGCCTAATAAATTAAATATATATGTAAAATGTGAGGCATACGTTAACGGGTTAAGGACACGGTTTTTCATCATTTTACGAATGATAATCTGTCGCGTAATAATATTATGTGATCTCGTGTATCCCAAATTAATATTATATAGGTACTAACAATATAATAGTATCCTTATATTATAATCCCTATGCACGTAATGTTACAATAACATTATTGTTACTAATGCCACTATGATATAGTGTAAAATTAAAGTATACTTATATCATTAACTTTATTATACAACCTGACCGATGGATGTAATGTGTTATATAATATATATTAGACGAACAAATATACATTTGTGTTAAACCATTTATCGTAATGATAATTAATTATTATTAGTTATTTAATTTAATAAAATTAAATTTGACAGTACCGCAATTACTTATATTAAGAAATCAACTAGGTACTACATTAGGTATATTTGATGTACTCGTACAATCAGATTTAATATCTAAGTACATATACTAACTTACTGCGGTAAATTATAGGCAGGTACTATACTTAAAAAGTGACGGATGAAAATCATAATTAATCATCATAACTATATACGTGCATACACTGATATACAATTAATTTCATACAATATTATTAATGTATATTTCTTGTTTAAAATATTATTTATTTTGGTAGGTGTCAACATTGTTAGTATAAATATTATTATAGTTCGTATGATTAATTAAAGTAAATTTTTTATCTCATATCACATACCTACATGTTTTTATTTGTAGAAGTCGTGATGGTGGACTATAATGTACAAACGTTAGCGTTGGTTTTATTTATTAAAAAAACCATTTATATTTACTTTATATACTAATTTAATTATACCAATGTCAAATTAATAATAATTTAATAGAATAAATTATTATTATGCAATGACTTGAATACAAATCATTTTTCAAGTAGTAATAATTTTTACTTATTTTTATGCATTTTTTTAAAATTTTTATATTTGAAAACTACTTATTGTTATTATTTTACGGTCCAAGATTATACTATGGTAAATCATATTAAAATACGTACCTATCCATTTTATGAAATTTCTATAGAAACAATATATGGTTGTGAAATTATTTTTGTTTTGTTTTTCAATAATTTCTACGGTTATTTACAGTAATGTTAGTGGATAATTGCCCCTCCCCACCCTTATATCATTGATAAAAATTGATTTATAATCTGTACATCGATTAGTATTCTTGTATAGACAATTCATTCTAATAAATAATTCTGTACATTTCGAAAAATTTATTATGTCAAACTATAGGTATAAAAAAATGATTGATCTAAAAATAATTGATTATCTATAAAATGTCAAATATTTTTTAAGAAACTACATTACTTGGACATTTTTATTTTACAATTAAAAAATAACGCATTTAATAGCAATGTGTGTGATTTAATGGTAAATAAAGGAAAATATTATTACATTTATCGGGTAGGGCTCTTTTTGATCCCTATTAATGATGTGATTTAAATCCGGATTATTTGAAATCAAAAAATTCTGATTTTAGATTTTTTCAGATCTATTGTATAAATTTTTCTATAGATCTCTCACTACTTTTATTATCTGATGTGTATTAAATAACTATATAGAAAAAAAATGTCTATAACATATTTTCAACCTTTCGCCCATATTTTATCTTTGTTTGATATTTTTACTTAGTGTGATTCTAATAGATTATTATCAAATATACCTAATTAATATTATATAATACTTATCTTATTAGGTATATTTATATTATAAACAAATATATACAAATGATTAGTTTTAGAATAGAATAAAAAATGCCTAAAAGAATCCAAAATCAAAGTTTCAAAATCTAAAACCTAAATTTTAAATACATTTTTGATAAGATTTCAGATTCCGAATTTTCGGATCATCGAAGTTCAGCAAATCCGGATTTTTCCCACCACTTGTACCTATTATCGTATTAAATTAATTTACAAACCAATATCGACAAATATTTTAAATATTATATTTCCATCAATCAAAGCCACCATATTATAAATTCGCATCGTGGGTATATTTGCATCAAGCCCATTTTTATATGAATGGAAAGTTGGGAAGGATATCTATAGGATGAAGAGTAATTTATTTTGTACATTAAAAGTAAGGATAGGTCATTACAATCATAAAACGATTATTAGCCGAGCTTGATAAACTGGTAAGGTTATAGTATTATAGTCGCGCTTTCCCCCTTTGTATAGCCAAAGTTATATATACCCAGAAATCAACAAAAGTAAACCAATGTATCGTCATTTTGTTGTCAATTCTTTTTTTAAGTTATTGATAAAAGTATTGGGAATTTTGAAAAAAAAAAACAAAATAGTGAGCGACGAAAAATTGATGGAAAAATCTGATCGAATTTTACTAACCGAAAAAACGTTTTCTGAGAGAAAATAACGAGAATCTAAAGTCGAATTATTTCAAACGTTCAAAACAAAAATAAAATCACTACGCAAATAGATTCATGTAATACCTAATCATTATGCGTATTATGTCATTGTGTATATATTATTGTGTTGCGATATTCGAATTAATGGTCTTTAAAATCGTGAGATGAAGCCATTGTGGGTTGGGTTGGGGGGGATTAAGACACTCGCTCAAATATTATTATTGGGAATATCAATTTTGTGCCCGTCGACGAAATAAATAAACATAATTCCGGATAAATATGCAGGTGTTGTTTTCGGATATTGAAAAAAAAAATGTGTAATATGTATTTGGATTAAACTCTTTTATAATATTAATCCTCCTAATCCCCGCAGCGTCTTCTTTACTCTCATTTACGAGGGGTCATTCGGGCCACTGCGTGCGGTTTCCTTAATTTTAAACACCGGACCGCTTATTTAGGTTTTCAGCTCTTATGTATATTGTACCGTGTGTTTTTCTAACCTTTCGTAAAATAATTGTCGAGACTATAATATTGTATTGTATTGCTTAGCAGAGTTTCACAAAAAAAAAAAAATAATAAATAAATAAATAAATAAAACATATATAATTGGGTGGCGTCACTCACTTCGTGTATTATATATATATATAGGCAGGTGGCAGTGGCGGCAACGTTAACTGCAGCAGGCGAAAATTGACGTTCGGCGTGTTGACGCGGACGCGGTGCGAACAAGAGTGATCGTCGTCGGCGGCGGGTGCGTCCAAAGCTACAAGTGCCACCCGGCCGCGTACAGTATAGAGGTACCTAGCGACCGTCGATAAAATATAACGCGCGGCGTTCTCTCTCCGGCGGGACCGGGACACGATTCGACGATTTGGCCGCGGACGGGGTGCCGACGGTGCGGCGAATCGAGGCGGGAGGGACGGCACTCAGCGTAATGCGTGAGTTTTATCCGCGACAACGGCCTTCTATATAGGTATACGCGCGCGTGTCTTTTCTGCTGTACCGACCTTTTACAATTATTATTATTATTATTATTATTGCCGTTAACAATCTCCGGTCCTTTTTCCGTTCTCTCCGGAATTATATTTATTATTACGTAGGTACGTATATATATATATATGTAAATATAGGTACGACTGTGCGAATGTATCGATTATTATTATCGGGTCCAGAACAGAATTATTGTGTATTTTTTTCTTTTCTTCTTCTTCGCGGTATTATAATATTATCACATCTCCTATTATACATTTAATCGATATATTATTGATGATAATGCGTAGGTCTTAACCGGTAGGTACTATGCACGCGTATACACGTATATAAAATATAAAATGTATATAGTTTCCTTCTTCGCGAGATTCTCCCCCGGGAACGTCTACACACGGTCCGCAATCCAACGCGGTAATGCGGGTTGCGCACACAGGTCCAAAGACACAGAAAGAGAGGGGAAAAAAATGATCGCGATATTGGAACAATATCCCTCAAGTGCATTTAACGAACAATACGGCGGGCGTTCGCCGTCTCAGTTAATCTAACGCGCGTCGTAGCAAAAACAGCGTTTCGCTCTTCCAATACAGTCTGAGTACACCCAGACTACCGATTAGTCTGATAAACTCTCTTTTTTTTTTTTTTTAATGCCCAAACAAACACGAGAAGTCTTATAGATTTCTTTACAGAACTGTACTGTTGACTATTATTGTTTTTCAAACCTATATTTTATTTGCACTCGTAAATTCGTCTTTTTAAAAATATTATTTTGAACAAAACCGAACAGAACTGAAAGACAGAAATTTAAAAGAAAAAAGAAAAACTGTTCTATAGATATCTATGGTTAAACTTATTCTCGTGTTTATTTTAACAGCGCCGAAATCAAGTTTGAGTATTATTGAAAGTACGAAAACACATTTTTGCTATATTGCCCGTTTGATTGACGCACAGGCGCAAATGCGCGTACAACGTTCTTTGATCGTAAGTATCTATATCTACCTGTCAATACGTAAAGTGTATTTGATTTGGTACTGCATTAGCTGTTTATTTTTGTAAATTGACCATATAATGTGACGCGCTTATTGGATATATCATCCCGATTGCCTTTGTTTTTCCGTGTAGCTGATATACTATAATTAAAAACATAGAGCATACAATATGAAATATGAATAAACAAATACTATAAATTGTTTGGTATAGTTATCATGAAAATGAATAATAAAATAATGCAGGCAACCTGTTTGCTCAAAAATATGCTGGACAGGAAAAAAAATTCTTATGCATCGTAGAGTGAACAAATTTCGATAAGCTTTTTTTTTTTTGCTGAAAAGAGAACAACTTTTTAATACGGCGTATTGAACTTGGATTTTGAAAATGCAGTGTTTGAATATTAATCATTTTTTATCACTTTTTTTTAAGACTCGTTTTATTTGTGGAATTTGAGTAGTAACCAAAAATCGAAATCCAATTCACCCTACTTTATATTAGGATATTTTCCTCTTTTAAACGAAGAAATAATGATCTAAATCGATCCGGATCTAATGAATAACTAAATTTTAAAATGGGTATGCTAAAAAATATAAACTATTTCGTTATTATTTATTATCTAAAATGTATTAAAATATTTTTAAAACCGATTTGTACATTTAAAATATTTTTCTTAAAATGAGTTATCAATCCATTTTCAACAGGATTTCTCCTATTGAAATAAATTAGTTCTATGTAAAACAACCAATTTGTATAATTTTTTTTTTCTATGTATTCCTTCATTTAATTTTTTAGTCACGTTTTATATTTTGACTGATATATCTAATGAATGATGATACATTTTTAATTCGAAACCGGTCGTATAATACATTATTTGATTAATATTCAAAATTAATTACTGAAAATAATGAAAATCATTAATTAGCATGAATTCAATCAAAATCATTAATACTGAACATAATACCGACTACACCGTCTGGGCGGCGCCGATAACGACATTCTTCTTTTTTATCTTGTCTGTCTAAATTCAACCCTCATTCGGCAGTTTTATATTGGCTTAAAGAAAAACTAGACATGTTAAGGTACAGCCGTATGCTGTTAAGCAGAAATGATTTCAAGGGGTTTTTTCTGAAGCTGAAACCTCAAAAAGTATTTCTTTTGCTGAGAATAACAGTACCAAAGTTTGTTTTTAACTAAATTTATATAATTGTTTTAAATATTACACTGTGTTAAATGTTATTCTCAATAAAGTAGGTATTTGTTATTATTTAATAATATAAATAATATATGTTAACTCAAGCTATTCAGGTTTTAATTTTAAAATTTCTAATTATATATCAAGGACTTTTATAGAAGATTGTCTTAGATTGTATCTGTTATAACTAATTATTAATAAATACCAAAAACAATTATGCAACGAAGTCATATGTAGCATGTGCACTACTAGGTCTATGTTCATTATTTTAAAACATTTTGGTGTGTGAAATAGGGTGTGCAGTAGCACAATCCTATAAAATCTGTAGTTTTTTTGTGTTATTTACAGTATTTGTATAAACAAAATATATTTATTATTACTTTTTTTTTGGAATATAGTTGGAATGCATTCATTATAAGGAATGACAAATAGAAATAAATATGTTTTTAAAAGTTATTTTTCAAACACTGGTAAAATATACCGCACACTGTTTTACGGGAGCCACCGATCATATTACGCTCGTACATTATAGTATACACGAATAGTATTTGTTAATTTTGTTTTTTTACGTATTATAATATACTCGAAAATTTAACGCACACATGGGCACATATATTATTATTATAACACGATAAAATATTACGCGTGAATAGAATGATTTCGCGTCACAACGAGCGCGCCATAATAATATTTTTTATTCTCAAGACAATGGCTACGCGTAGACGAAAAAGTAACGGTTTCTTATACAAACACATTTCTTATTAATTATATTATTACTGACGGTTTGTATAATCGTGTGCGTATGTATACTAAGTATATGAACGTATATTTCGCGTTTTGTTCTTATAACAAAATCGCGCGCGTTTTTAATTCAATTGCTCGTAAATCGCGTATTTTATTTTATATACTCATAATTAGCTGGCGCACATCGTACAACGCCCGTTTGTAAACTACTATATTGACGCTGTTTTAACAGGATAGCTATTGGTATAGCTAGTATAGGTATCATTAGGTATCTACACCGGAATGCATTTTTTTTTTTAATTATAACAGTGGTGTTCTCTACTCTATAATAGCTGAATTACTAAATTAATATGTATTCATAGCTGAATCACTCGGCTTCACCCGTGTGTATTTATTAAATTTTTTTCATAACTCCCCGAGTTACTTGTATTTGTATTTTGTATTTTTTTTTCTCCTTTGTATTGTTATATGTTCTCGTACGTCAGTTTTAAGTTTAAAACGTAATAATTTCTTGCCTCAATGTCGACTGCCGTTTGGCGTATATTTTTTCAAATAAATAAATAAATATTTACAATATTATTTTAGAATATTATAATTATGGTAACATTGTTGGTTCTTTCAGGCAGCAGTATTACCAGACTATCACAAGAGCTTACACGTGAACAGGCAACGTATAATTGGACATAGGAGAAACAGTCATTCTTTAAATCCACACTTTCCAATTTCAAAGCCTTGTACTTATTGTTAATTGTCATGGAAAAACAGACTATGACGGGAAACTGTAGCCGTTTGAATTGAAAGTGGTAGTCAGATGGAAATTAAAGTTATTCTTGGTAGAAAAACTGATTCACAGCCTGTAAAGATAGTTGTTTCAATTACATTTTTTTATAAGATAATTCTTGTATATTCAATAGACTAAAAACTATTTGGTTATGGAAAAAACTATACTCGAATAGTTTTTTGAAATTTTCGATAGGTTTTCCAAATAAAAGTATTTGGTATAAAGGGAAAACATTTTCGAGGGAAAAATTTTAATTTCTACAGTATGATTAGATTTCATTTATAATTTGAGATTCTGTGTATCAAAGTGTAACGAATAATGTATTGGTTTTACTAAAATGTTTAGTTTTTAATTTTTAAAATTTAAAATTTTTTTATACTGTATACAAAAATTCTACCAGAAATCTTGTTCCGATATTTATGAGTAGCACCATTTTTGAAAGGAAATATTGTCCAGATAATAGTTTTAGGAGGTAATTTTTTGATTTTCCAAGTGGTTTTTATAATATCTGGGAAAAACCAGGATAAAACACAAGAAAAACGGACAATTTATGAAAATAATGTTTTTATTATTTTTAAATTTTGTTATTTGTTGTAATTCAGTTAATATAATGCTCATAGAGACTTAAAATTTGAACGAAAAACCTTATAGTAGCTTTTTCTAGACATGGTAAAATTTTCGAAATATTTGAGCCATTTTTAAGCTTTTTATAAAAATTTTAATATTTTTGTTGAAATTCAGTTAAAAATATTTGTATTGACTCTATCGACGTAAAATTTGGAAAGAAATGTATATTTGACTTTTTTAGACGTGGTCAAATTTTCAAAAAATTTAAGCTATTTTGGGCTATTTATAGATATTTTAATTTTGCCAGTTTTGTAACGTAATTTTTATTCGTTCAGACTCGATAGTAAAATTGTTGAATTAAAAAAAATAATTGCAAATTTAACATGATATTCATTAAATCTTACTTTGTAGTCAAAAAAAAAATTGAGTTTAAAGTAATTTTTTTTTTTATAAAAAAATTTTAATATCAGATTTTGATGAAAATTGTTTGAGTAAAAATTATGTGGAACAAATTTAATTTTTCAATTTTTTTTTTT